AGGTCTTTGAGTGTAACCTACAATTTTCAAGTGACATTCTGCTATCCTGGATCAGTGTGGCTCAGGGACAATGCCAAGGTATATTTTGCATCCATGCATTCATATTTTCATATTTGCTTGATCATCAAAAGTGGCTGTAAGATGTACATGACTGATATATGATTTCAGTCTTATATAATCCAGTGCCAGACATCAATGAGTTTTTAACGATGGTTTTATATTCTTTAGCAAAAGGGCTCTTTTGTCTTTACGGCTGGGTTTTTAATTAAGTGGCTTTATTTGTTTTAAAGAAATAATTTATTTGTTAAAAAGCCCATTTTTGCTAAAAGCCTTTTTTGGTCTCTGACCTAGTTTTAAGCGTGTAATAAAAGAAAGGAACTTAGCCTTTTTGTTTGTGTGTCTGCAACATTGAAAAAGAAGAAGAACGACAAAATATTGGCAGAGAGTTTTTTTTAGAGTTCATATTGAAAACTCATGTGGCTGTTCCTTGTTAGCCTCCATGAGTGATTAAATAATCATCTTTTCATATATGTGTGAGTTCATGAGCATTATGCATGTTGGTGATCAACAATCGTGCCTTGAGGTGTGAGCAGCGGAGACTAGAGTTGTGCCATCTCTTGTTGACGAAGGAAGACAAGATCGCTGGTTGGGTTGAGTAGCAAAGGCGAGTAGGCAAGTCTGCCTTGTGAGCATTAGTCTTGTGAGTTGAGACTTGTAAGACCTTTTGTATTCTTTCTCATAGTGATTTGGTCTCCGGCATAGTGCCCGCAGTTGTTTTCCTCATCTTGAGGTTTTTTACTGCGTCAACATATCGTGTGTCCCTTGTGCAATTGTTTGTGTTTTTATTTGAATTTATTCTGCTGCGTATTCTGGAATTTTTGCTTACAGGATTGTTACAGTATTTCAATCCTGTCGTGGTGTTTGAGTATTAAGAAACAGATCGGTTGGCCATTCTAGGGAATTTCATTTGGCATCAGAGCTGGTCACTAGACGTGCTTAGTGAGATCGTTGGGCTGTGCTAGAATGGATCGTGCATGTGGGTCTGTGAATCATCCTCCGTTTCTTGATGAGAATACTAACTATGGGGCTTGGAAAGCTAAGATGAAATCTTTTCTGTGGGCTCAAGGTACAAAGGTGTGGACAACTATTGAGAATGGTTGGGAACCTCCAACAAAGAAAATTAAAGGGCGTGGAAAAGAGGTTGAAGGTGAAGGCCAGTCGACAACAAAGGTTGTAATTAAGCAAAATACAGAATGGACTGATGAAGAAAACGATATGAGTGCCTACAATCAAAAAGGTCTTAACTCCATCTTCACTGCGGTATCAGCTGAAAAATTTGAGTTTATATGTCATTGCAAAACCTCAAAGGAGGCTTGGGATATTCTGGAAATTACTCATGAAGGAAATGCCACTGTCAGAGAATCCAAACTTCAACAACTGATGACTAAGTTTGAAAATTTGAAGATGCTGGAAACTGAAAAATTTGCTGAATTTTACGCTAGATTGAGTGTGGTGGTGAATGCTTGCAGCAACCTTGGTGATGCAATTCCTGAACACAGAATAGTGAAAAAGATTTTGAGATCTCTGCCTATGATGTATCACGCCAAGAAGACAGCGATTGAAGAGTGTAAGAATTTGAACACTTATAAACTTACTGAGTTAATTGGTTCTCTTACCACTTATGAGATGGAATTTCCAGAAATAAAGAAAAGCAAGGGCATTGCTCTAAATACAGTGAAAGAAGATGGGAGTGACAGTGTGTCAGAAGACAAAATGGATTATGCTTTGCTTACAAAACAATTTCGTAAGTTTTTGAAATCTAAGAATTCAAGGTCTGGTGAACAAAGAGGAAATTCAGGTTCAAGTACAAGAGGGAGTCGCCCTCGTGAGTTTACTTCTGACAAGTTATCACATACAACCAGAACTATGGAGAGAAAGGGCTCTAAAGATTCACTGAAGTGCTTTGAATGTGGTGGATATGGACACTTTGCCTCTGAATGCGCAAATAATTTGAGGAAGCAAAATAGTGGGAAAAATAAAGTAATGGCAGCAACTTGGAGTGATAGTGAGTCTGATAATGATTCAAATTCAGAAAATGAAGATCAAGTTGTTGCTTTCTCTGGGAGAATTCATGCGCAAAAGGATGAGAACTCTGATGTTGAAGAACCTGAGATAGAAGTGGTGATGAAGCAATTCAACAGTCTCTATGATTCCTCTGAAAAACTGAAGAAGAAAAATGCAGAGCTTGTTGATCAAGTGGCTTTTCTACAAGACGAACTGACCAAGACTGAAGCTGCCTTTCAATCCCAGCTGAAAACAGAAGAAAATCTGCGTGGGTTTTTGCTTGAAAAAATTCAGATGCTCCAAGACAAGTACCAGCTGCAGAAAGATATGAATGTTTCTCTTACTTTCGAAAGGGACCATGCTAGTGCTGAATTAAAATTAGCAACGGAAAAAATATTTGGTATGACCATTGGTGCAGAGAAGATTGACAGGATGTTAAGTCTGGGAAAAAGGGCTGGTGATACGAGAGGTTTGGGTTTTGAAAGTGAAAAGTCTAAGCAAGAGGTCAAAGCTGTGAAATTCATCAAAGAATTCTCTTCTACTGAAGCGAAGGTTAGCCCAAAGAAATTTATACCGATCTGTCATTTTTGTGGAGTTTTTGGTCATATACGGCCTAGATGCAATGTGCTTAGAAAGGAGAAGAGGTCAGCTTACTACTATTCTCCAAGAAATTTTAATCCATCTCAAAGAACCAAACTAGTGTGGAAAAAAAAGGAGGAAAAGTGCTTGGTGACTTTAATGGCCTTATCTGCTAGAAAATCTGATACATGGTATTTCGATAGTGGTTGTTCAAGACATATGTCTGGTGATAAATGTTGGTTTACAAATCTGAATAAAGAGTGTGTGGAAGGCTCTGTGACATTTGGAGATGGAAGTAAAGGTAAAATTTTAGGGAAAGGAGATGTTGAGACACTTGGCTTACCATTCTTGAAAAATGTCATGTTGGTGGAAAATTTGCAGGCAAATTTGATAAGCATCAGTCAACTTTGTGATGATGGTAGCAGCGTGTGGTTTGATAAAGATCAATGTTATGTTGCTGATTTTCAAGGGAAGAAGGTTATGAGTGGCATGAGATCCAAAGATAATTGCTATTGTATTCAGGTGAATGAGAACAAAAGTCTTGTGTGCAATCGCGCTACTGATGACGTGATGGAACTGTGGCATAGAAGACTTGGTCATATCAACTTTCGTGATCTCTTGAAGCTGTCCAAGAATGAGTGTGTCAGAGGTCTGCCAAAGCTGAGTGGTAAGTCTGCAGGAGTGTGTGGTGCGTGCCAATTAGGTAAGCAAGTCAAGAGTGCTCACAAAAGCATATCCTACATATCAACATCCCAACCATTAGATTTGCTGCATATGGATTTAGTTGGTCCCATTCAGACTGAGAGCATAGGTGGAAAGAAGTATATGTTGGTGTTGGTGGATGACTTTACTCGGTTTACTTGGGTTGATTTTCTTCGTGAAAAATCTGATGCATTCAAGAGTTTTCGTGGCCTATGCAACAAAATTCAGATCGAGAAAAATGCTTCACATGTTACTGTCATGAGACTTCGAACAGACCATGGAACAGAGTTTGAAAATGTAAGCTTTGCTGAATATTGTGAAGAGAAAGGAATAAAGCACGAATTTTCAGCACCTATTACACCTCAACATAATGGGGTGGTTGAGAGGAAGAATCGCACCTTGCTTGAAATGGGACGTGTGATCTTGACAAGTGCTAAGATAGCGAAGAAATTTTGGGCAGAAGCTATTAGCACAGCATGTTATACAGCAAATCGTGTATATCTTAGACCGGGCACAACTTCAACTCCTTATGAGCTTTGGAAAGGGAGAAAACCTAACATAAAGCACATGAGGGTTTTTGGGAGCGTCTGCTATATTTATAGAGATAGAGAAAACCTAGCAAAGTTTGATACAAGAAGTGATGCTGGCATCTTTTTGGGTTATTCTCTCACTAGCAGGGCTTATAGGGTGTTTAACAAGAGGACATGTACGGTAATGGAATCAATTAATGTTGTTGTCAATGATACTGATATGTCATTTGGTTCTTGTGCAGATGATGATGAGGATATTATTCCAGCAGCTCCTAGGCAAGAAGAAAAGGACAAGGTGGCTAACATTAATGATGAAGTGCATGCAGAAGAAGATATGTTTTCACCTCCTCTTAGACCTGGTGCTCGGCAAGTCCAAAAAGACCACACACCATCTGATATTATTGGAGATTTAAATGATCAAAGAAAGACAAGAAGCCAAGTCGTTGCGGAGGTAACTCATCTGTGCTATGTTTCCAAATTGGAACCAAAAAATTCAAAAGAAGCACTTCTTGATTGTGATTGGATCATGGCTATGCAAGAGGAGTTAGACCAGTTCACTAGAAATGATGTGTGGTACTTGGTTCCACGTCCCAAGGACTTGAATGTGATAGGTACAAAATGGGTTTTCAGGAACAAAACTGATGAAAATGGTGTTATTACAAGAAATAAAGCAAGGTTGGTTGCACAGGGATATTCCCAGGTTGAAGGGTTGGATTTTGATGAAACTTTCGCTCCCGTGGCAAGGCTTGAATCAGTTAGATTGCTTTTAGCTATAGCTTGTCATATGAGGTTCAAACTACACCAGATGGATGTGAAAAGTGCGTTTCTAAATGGGGTTTTACAGGAGGAGGTATATGTAGAACAACCTGTAGGATTCAAAGATCCTTACAATCCTGATCATGTATATCGTCTTAGAAAAGCTCTTTATGGGCTGAAGCAAGCTCCTAGGGCTTGGTATGATCGGTTGTCATCCCATTTGCTGAATAAAGGGTATGTCAGAGGAGCTGTTGACAAAACTCTGTTTGTCAAAAATACCAACAAGGACTTGATTGTTGCTCAGGTTTATGTCGACGATATTGTTTTGGGTCTACATCTGAATTTCTTGTAAAAGAATTTACTGAAGTTATGAGCAGCGAATTTGAGATGAGTATGTGTGGGGAGCTGAGCTATTTCCTAGGCCTGCAAGTCAAGCAACAAGATCATGGTATCTTCATTTCTCAAACCAAGTATGCAAAAGACTTGGTAAAAAAGTTTGGTATGAGTTCTGCCAAACCAACAAGGAATCCCATGGCTACACACAACAAAATTGATGCTGACCCTTCTGGAAAATGTGTAGAACAAACACTTTACAGAAGCATGATTGGAAGCCTCTTATATTTAACAGCCAGTCGACCCGACATCTCATTCAGTGTTGGTGTGTGCGCTCGCTTTCAGGCAAATCCAAAGGAGTCTCACTTGAATGCAGTCAAGAGAATCATCAGATATGTAAGTGGTACTCCAACTTTAGGTGTATATTATTCATTTGACTCAAATTCTGAAATTGCAGGTTACACCGATGCCGATTGGGCTGGAAACGTTGATGATAGGAAGAGCACATCTGGAGGGTGCTTTTATGTAGGTAATAATCTTGTGTCTTGGCATAGCAAAAAGCAAGCTTGTGTTTCCTTGTCTACGGCTGAAGCGGAATACATTGCTGCTGGAAGTTGTTGCACACAACTACTATGGATGAAGCAAATGATGAGTGATTACGGCATTCATCAAGGTACTTCAACTCTTTTTTGTGATAATCTGAGTGCAATAAATATTTCCAAAAATCCGGTTCAACACTCACGAACAAAACACATAGATATTAGGCATCATTTTATTCGTGAATTGGTTGAAGAAAAGGTGGTAAGTCTTGAGTTTGTTTGCACAGAAAAACAATTGGCTGATTTGTTTACAAAACCATTAGACACTGTTCGTTTTGAAGCTCTCAGGAAGTCTCTTGGTATTTGTTCCATTGAATGAACTCCCTCTAATTTTTTTTTGCATTCACATTTCATTGTTGTATGCCCATGTCAAATAGGTTTCTTAGTTTCTGTTATTATTTTTCTTTCCTTCGGTTTTATTTTTTGTAGCCTTGTAGTATATCATTGCATTGCATTTTCAATCCCTTTGTCATAAGCTTGTATTTCTTTGAACTAAGATTGGGTTTTCTAGTCTGAGTACGGGACTAACTGTGAGACACATGCTCTTAGTTGGCAAATATTTTTCTATGTTAGTCTCTGGCATTAATTCTTGCTTGGCATTTTCACAGCATTTCCTTGGTTCTTGCGCACGCACACCAATATGAGCTATGAATGCCTATGCTGCAAGATTTCAATTTAAACGAAAATGATAGATATCTTTGGAGCTTGACTCAGGTTATCCCAAAGTAGCCGGACCTCTTACCTAACCAGTGTCGAGGGTCGCGTCGAATACGGGATGGCTTGGTCCATAAAACTTTGAAGCAACTTTTGAAGCCTTTGAGTTGCTAAGCCCATGGAGTATCCTTGATATACTTAGTGCCCTAAAGTCCTCTGGCTTGGGAGCATCTGGCCTAAGACTTGTTACAAGTCACTAGAAAGCTTAATAAAGTTGTGGACCGTGCTCCATAAAGGAAAAAATATATATACAGCACAATTGTGAATCTGTTGAATACCATTTGTATGCATTGTCATTCCTATCTCTCTATTGGTTCACTTTTCACACCAAGGACCCTTGTGAATTTTTGCTAACCTTGATTATATGGTGTTGCCTAACATGGAGAGATATTTCACAACACTTGATGCTGTGGGTTCTCATTGTTACTCTTCAATTTTGACTTGATATCTCCTTACAAGCTTTGCTTAGAAATCTCGTTTGTGACACTGGTTTGAAAAATAAAAAAAATAAATATAAAAAATAAAAAATAAAAAATTTCATCTTGTGTGCCTTCTTGCTCCTTCGTCATTACATGTATCTTTTCATACATTCATGGGAGATTTCATAATTTGGAACTTTTGCCTACATTGTTCTTCCTGGGAGTGGTTGTTTGATGTGCAAGTGGTTATTTCTTTGAGGGGGAGTTTGCCATTACCTATCCAAAAAAGGGGGAGTAAACATTCTGAGTTTTATTTTGACATATTGTCTTTTCAACCATACATGCTTTTCACTGGTTATTTTTTGGTTTAGTGGTGCAGAATTCAGGTTACCTTTTCTATTGCAAGTGGTTATGTTTGAGGAATTCTTTTCACTCACTTGTACTTGGTTTAGGGGGAGATTGTTAGGACCAATTTTTGTAACTAGAGTTTTTGTATAGGAAATGCCAAAGGGGGAGATTGTTAGGACCAATTTTTGGTATATTGGCAATTTCCTGTTACAAAAACATAGAGTAGGTCTTTGAGTGTAACCTACAGTTTTCAAGTGACATTCTGCTATCCTGGATCAGTGTGGCTCAGGGACAATGCCAAGGTATGTTTTGCATCCATGCATTCATATTTTCATATTTGCTTGATCATCAAAAGTGGCTGTAAGATGTACATGACTGATATATGATTTCAGTCTTATATAATCCAGTGCCAGACATCAATGAGTTTTTAACGATGGTTTTATATTCTTTAGCAAAAGGGCTCTTTTGTCTTTACGGCTGGGTTTTTAATTAAGTGGCTTTATTTGTTTTAAAGAAATAATTTATTTGTTAAAAAGCCCATTTTTGCTAAAAGCCTTTTTTGGTCTCTGACCTAGTTTTAAGCGTGTAATAAAAGAAAGGAACTTAGCCTTTTTGTTTGTGTGTCTGCAACATTGAAAAAGAAGAAGAACGACAAAATATTGGCAGAGAGGTTTTTTTGAGAGTTCATATTGAAAACTCATGTGGCTGTTCCTTGTTAGCCTCCATGAGTGATTAAATAATCATCTTTTCATATATGTGTGAGTTCATGAGCATTATGCATGTTGGTGATCAACAATCGTGCCTTGAGGTGTGAGCAGCGGAGACTAGAGTTGTGCCATCTCTTGTTGACGAAGGAAGACAAGATCGCTGGTTGGGTTGAGTAGCAAAGGCGAGTAGGCAAGTCTGCCTTGTGAGCATTAGTCTTGTGAGTTGAGACTTGTAAGACCTTTTTGTATTCTTTCTCATAGTGATTTGTTCTCCGGCATAGTGCCCGCAGTTGTTTTCCTCATCTTGAGGTTTTTTACTGCGTCAACATATCGTGTGTCCCTTGTGCAATTGTTTGTGTTTTTATTTGAATTTATTCTGCTGCGTATTCTGGAATTTTTGCTTACAGGATTGTTACAGTATTTCAATCCTGTCGTGGTGTTTGAGTATTAAGAAACAGATCGGTTGGCCATTCTAGGGAATTTCACATGCCATTTGCTCCATTTGTGGGGGTCAATCACCATGGTCAATTGATTTTGCTAGAATGTGGGTTGATCTCAAGTGAAGATGCCTACATATTTATTTGGTTATTTAAGTCTTGGCTTGCTTGTATGTATGGTTGTGCTCCAAAGGGAATAATTATAGATCAAGACAAAGTCATGAAAAAAGCAATTGAGGTTGTCTTTCCTAATACTAGACATCATTTATGCTTGTGGCATAACATGAATAAAATTCCTTAAAAGTTAAGTGGGTATAAGGAATATCAATCCATTAGCTTTGTATTTGTTGATTATGTACTTATAAATACCTTACCCAAGTACGAAATAAAAGTTAGCAAGTAAAATGACAACTTTGTTGATTATGTATTTATAAATTTATTACAATATGTTACATGTTATATTTGTATTTGTGGCAGAATTTTCAATTAGAAATAAGTGATGCAGTTTGCCCTATTAGCGATTCACTCACTTACGGATGTGGTAATGTAGTTGCAACGCAAGAGAGCAATATTATTATGAAGGTATGACGTTAATACATTGATATTTTTGTTAGTAATGTATTTAGTTAACAAATATGATCATTGAAATTCATACTCTTTATAGTTCAGAATTCCCAAATTGAACAAGGAACTCAAGTTTATATGGGTGACAACCAATATCCTACATTTAGTGATTGTAAGTTTTTTTTTTTTTTTTTTTCCTGCTAGTAATGTAAGTTAGTTGTTTTGTTCTATTAGTATTGTTTGCTTGAAATTATTATTTATTTGTTTAATATAATTTATTTATTATATGAAAATATGGCCTTTTTATTGGGGTTCACTCAAAAAGGTAATCCAGACTACGTGTCCAAGGGGTATAAGATAGGAAATAGAGTTTATCCTATTGGCTGTGAAGATCATTTTCAGGTAATACATATATTTCGTGAAACATTTGTTTGCTTTTATTCACCTATATTTTACGATTTTCATGTTTCATTTTCATGTTCTTATATTTAGGGTGCTTGATATCAATATTTGCATAGAGGTTATGGGAAGCACAATATGCCAAGATTAAGTTTGAGGGAAAATGATGACCAAGAGCTCTACTGCAAAATGAAAGCAAAACTGAGAATAATATCTTTTGTTTTATCTTGTTACTGAAAATTTACAAATTTAGTTCTAATACTTATGGTGTAATAGACATATGGAAATCAACTTTGAAGAGAGTCACATGTATTTATTTTGAACTTTTGATATCATCTTTTAAGTATTAAGCTAATGAGTTTGGACGGCTGCTGTGTACATATTCCCGCTCATGAATTTCATGGAGGCAAATGGTTTATCATGAATTTAATAAGTGTACAAATGGTATTAAGCTATGCATTTGTCTGTAACACGCTGCTTATGAATTTCATAAAGGAAAATGGTTCATCATGAACAATACAAACTACAAATAAGAGAATTTATATAGCAACCATGGAAAACTAACAAAATACATTAACTTAATTATGCTTTAATGATTAGATCTCTAACTATAAATGAGATACAAATGAAATCCAGTACATGAACTAGATACAATCTATTATCAGCACACATCAACCCTAAGGTGAATATCTTCAAAATAACATCCTTAACATGAAGAGTCATCACAGCAAGGAACTCATGTGGCTTATTATTATTATTATTATTATTTTTATTTTTTATTTTTAAAGTAAGTACCTGTAAGGTGCATGAAAAAGCTATTCTCATCTAACCATCGAATCCTTAATTAAAAAAGCACCTATAAAAAACTCAATTAGATGTAGATACAAACACATTAAAGAAAACCATCATAAAATTAAACAAAATCATACCCATCTAGAAAATTAAAAAAGTAAAACTCATTCGTCCACACCATCTAAATTCCAGTCTTGATTTTCTTTATATAGATTGCTTTGTGCGATTTGGCTTGTAAGAATAAGGAGTTTGATCAAGAAGGGAGAGGAGTGAAGAATATGATGTACAATTATAAGTGTACTAACCAAACACCAAGAGGAAGGAGTAGAGCGGCTGTGGAACGGCGGGGGAAGGGTTGCAAAGGTCCGACAAAGCGCCGACGATTAGAAACAAATCCTAATTTGAAGAAGAGCCTGTTTAACCAGTAAAAAAGAATTTAATTTGAATACTGATTGGAAACAAATAAATAAACGATTTAACAATTACGTATGAGAAGAAAGCATTCATCAAAAAAAAAAAAGGTAAAGCTAAACAGAAAAATAATGTTAACCACGGAGGAAGGAGTAAAGAGGCAGAACAACGTCAGAAGTCTATCGGAGCGGTGGCAAAAGTTCGGGGAAGCACTGGCAATGGGGGAGGAGAGGAAGGAGAGAGAGAGGGAATTGGGGGAGGCAGAGAGGCATACGTGAAAAGTGGTCTCTAATTCAGTAGGGTTTAAGTTTTTTTAAATAAAAAAAATAACTAATGAAAAATATAGAAAATATTATCTCCTTAAAAAAGAACTAATATAATTTTAATGAGGTGGTTGACCACATCAGTTGCCATGTAAGATGGTATTAAAATGTGGCAGATTTATGTGGTAAGTATAGCATTACCCTTATATATATCTATATATATGTTATATAAGATTTGTCATTTCTTAATTAGACCATCTCTCAC